TTCGGTGTTGGATTCGTGGTAGGAGAGAGACTCCGTCGCCGAGTACTGGCGTTCACCCCGGTGGACGAACGTCTAGCCACAATCCGCATCAAAGCTAGATTCTTCAACATCTCGCTCATCTGCGCCCATGCCCCGACGGAAGAGAAGGATGAGGCGTCCAAGGATCTCTTCTATGAGCGCTTGGAACGTACATATGAGCGCTGCCCCCGACACGATGTCAAAATCGTGCTTGGCGATTTTAATGCAAAGGTGGGCAAGGAAGGGATCTGTGGCGCCACTGTCGGAAAATTCAGCCTCCACGACGAAACGTCCGATAACGGACTGAGGCTGATCGACTTCGCCGGGGCCCGAAATATGGTAATATGCAGTACTAGGTTCCAGCATAAGAACATCCACCAAGCTACATGGCTGTCTCCAGATCGAAAAACGAGAAACCAAATCGATCATGTTGTGATAGACGGAAGGCATGCTTCAAGCGTTTTGGACGTACGTACACTCCGAGGGCCAAACATCGACTCGGACCACTATCTTGTTGTAGCCAAGATACGCACCCGCCTCTGTGCAGCAAAAAATGTGCGCCCAACAATGCAAGGAAAGCTTAACGTCGAAAAGCTGCAATCACAACAGACGGCCAATTTATTCGCCACTCGACTCACACACCTGCTCTCTGAGAGCACTCTTCAACAATCCGACGTACGCGAGCAGTGGAACCACATTTCCCGATCATTAAGTACCGCCGCCGAAGAAGTAGTTGGATTTCAGCGAGCCCGAAAGAACAACTGGTACGATGAGGAATGTCAAGAAGCCGCAGAGAAAAATGATGCCGCCTACAGGGCCACGCTGCGATCGGGCGCAACGCGAGCCATGTGGGACCGTTATAGGGAACTGAAGAAGGAAGCGAGACGTATTTGCCGCAATAAGAAGAGAGAGGCCGAAATACGTGAGTGCGAAGAGCTTGAGATGCTGGCCGACAGGAAGAACGCCCGAAAATTCTACCAGAGGGTTAGGCGACTTACGGAAGGTTTCAAGACCGGGGCGAACTCCTGTAAGAACAACAATGGCGACCTAGTGACCGATGTCCAGAATATACTTAAATTGTGGAGGGAACACTTTTATAACCTACTGAATGGTAGCAGCGCTGAAAGTAGTGAGGAAGACGAACCCGAGTCCCCAGTCGATGATGATGGAGTAGCTGTCCCACCGCCTGACTATGACGAGGTACGAATAGCGATTACGCGGCTGAAAAACAACAAAGCTGCTGGAGCTGACGGCCTGCCAGCCGAGCTATTCAAGTACGGCGGCGAGGAGCTGATGAGGTGCATGCATCAGCTCGTATGCAGAATATGGTCAGATGAACGCATGCCCGACGACTGGAATTTAAGTGTGCTCTGCCCAATCCACAAGAAAGGCGACCCCGCCATACGCGCCAACTACCGCGGAATTAGCCTTCTAAGCATAGGTTACAAGGTCTTATCGAGCGTATTGTGCGAAAGACTGAAGCCCACCGTCAACGAGCTGATTGGACCTTATCAGTGTGGCTTTAGGCCTGGAAAATCCACCATAGATCAGGTATTCACAATACGCCAAATCTTGGAAAAGACCCGCGAGAATAGGATCGACACACACCATCTATTTGTCGATTTCAAAGCCGCTTTCGACAGCACGAAGAGAAGTTGCCTTTATGCCGCGATGTCTGAATTTGGTATCCCCGCGAAACTAATACGGCTGTGTAAAATGACGTTGAGCAATACCACCAGCTCCGTCAGAATAGGGAAGGACCTCTCCGAGCCGTTTGATACCAAACGAGGTTTCAGACAAGGGGACTCCCTTTCGTGTGATTTCTTTAATCTTATGTTGGAGAAGATAATAAGAGCCGCAGAACTGAACCGCTCAGGCACAATACTTTATAAGAGCGTACAATTGCTGGCGTATGCCGACGACATCGATATTATCGGTAAAAACAAGGGCTACGTCTGTTCTGCCTTCTCGGGATTGGATAGAGAAGCAAAGCGAATGGGTCTGGTGGTGAACGAGGACAAAACGAAGTATCTCCTGTCAGCACACAAACAGTCAGAGCATACGCGTCTTGGCACCCACGTCACTGTTGACAGTTACAAGTTTGAAAAAGTAGACGACTTCGTTTATTTGGGAACCAGCATTAACACCAATAATAATGTCAGCCTTGAAATCCAACGGAGAATCACTCTTGCCAACAAGTGCTACTTTGGGCTGAGTAGGCAATTGAGAAGTAAAGTCCTCTCTCGTCGTACAAAGATCACACTCTATAAGTCACTCATCATGCCTGTGCTGGTGTATGGCGCGGAAGCATGGACAATGAAAGCATCTGATGAGGCGGCTCTTGGAGTTTTCGAGAGAAAGATTCTGCGAAAGATTTACGGACCTTTACGCGTTGGTGATGGCGAATATCGCAGACGATTTAACGATGAGCTGTATGAGCTTTACAACGATATAGACATAGTGCAGCGAATTAAAATTCAGCGGCTCCGCTGGCTTGGCCATGTCGTTCGGATGGACAGAAACGCTCCTGCTCTGAAAATATTAAACGCGGGCCGCGATGCTGGGAACAGAGGAAGAGGAAGGCCTCCTCTGCGTTGGAAAGACCAGGTGGAGAAGGACTTGGCTTCACTTGGCATTTTCAATTGGCGTCAGTTAGCACAGAAGAGAAATGACTGGCGTGCTGTTTTGGACTCGGCCAAAATCGCTTAGGCGGTTACAGCGCCAAATAAGAAGAAGATAACCAATGGAGCCACCATGCAAATGCATATCCTGAGGTTGAGTATTTTTGAGGAGCTCCGGGCAATTATCGCTCAAGCTTGGGTGTGCTTAATGAACTGTCTGGGCGGATGCGCTGGCAGGCATTGGATTCTCTATAACTATACAAACCTTGTTTATTTTTAGTAAAGACTTAAATTATTCGGAAATTTAGAATTTTACTTGATAAATTAAAAAAATAACACAAAATTCACGTTTTTCGTAAAAATATAATCTTACAATGAATATTTTTTTTAATTTTAATTTTTACATTTAAGAAAACTGCATTCAGTGCTATAATTACGATTTCAATTTTCCAGTTTATAGAAACACAAGCGCTAATTATGTACTTAACTATTGATATTATTCTTAATTAAGCATTAATATTATGCTTTTTGTTCATAAATATCACATAATTACATATATTTTATTCTCGAAAAGAAATTTTTCTAATAATGATGCGAAATTCCCCACAGTAAGTGTTGCCGTGTGCGCAAAACGAAAACGCTGCACCCATCCAAAAAGTACTCCTCGGGGACCAATTGGTGAAAAACTGCGAAAAAGTTTATTACTGTTGGCGTGTGTGACAAAGTTCTGTGGGGAAAGCTGGTAAATAATATTTTTACTATGGGGAGACAGTTTTGCCAATCTGCTGTGTGAAATTAAATCTTTTTTGACAACAGTAAATTTTTGACAACCGCAGAGTAAAATATTATAAAATGAAGTGAGATGAATATTTTAAGAAAACATCTATGATCATTGATTGCAATTCATCAATTTATGCTTTTAATCAATTGAATTTTATTCAATTAAAGCGTTGCCGATTGACTGTCAACCTGTGCGGACGTGTTTTTTAATCGCTCCGCCGAGAAATTGTTAATAATTCACGTAAAGCAAAGAAAAAAAAACAGAACCAACGCCAAAAGACAATACTAGGCATAAATAAGCTTTCTGCTTATTTGCCTATAATTATAAATTACTTTTTCAGAATTTTCGCAATGCCGCGAGAAATTCAAATAAATGTGCCAACATACAATAAAATAAAAGCAGCTCCGGCCCCACCGCGCTTACCGAATAGTAGTGAAACAAGCACCAAGTGCAGTGAAATAAACCTTGCCGTAACAGAAGCTGACCAAAAGCATTCAGCTGATCGACGAAATGCTTACTTTTCGTTCGTTACCCCCCACAAACAATGCTGATCGCGATAAATCGTTCTCTCCCTCCCCCC